CACACGAGGACAAGAAGACAGAAACAATTGTCACACAGGGGTATTTGGGGCAGCGAGGAGACCCAGCTGAACTAGGACTCTAATAAAAAGTCAAAACGCAAAATAAGTAAACTTGAAAATCTCGTAAACAGGCACACAAACTACTCAAGCAATATGAGAAACAACTCAAACCTAAAGCATACTTAAACCCAAAATGAAACTAAAACTCTAAAAACTCAGAACCGTGAAGAGACCCAGGGATAGTGACACTGAGTGCAGCCTACAGCCCAATTGGCTGCACATACACTGACCTGGTTATCTGAAAGCTTTGGCCATGTCTAAGATGAGCATCCACTGTTGTAACAGTGAAAACAAGGAAAAGCATAATAGATCCCATTTGTTTTAGTTATCATAGCTTCACCATTTTCTGTTGCTAAACATTTCCACCCATGTGTGTTCTCAGAGAGCGTACCACTCCAGACTCCTGGCCCTGAGTGACGCACTAAAGAATTCGCCATTTTTCAGAACTCATGAGGTTAGTCTACATGTAGAGATGAATCTTGTTCAATTGTACGATAAATAAAAAACACATGAATTCATCATAGCCACTCTTACAATACCTTTATGTTTTTTAATCGATCAGGTGATTGGCAGCTCGCTTCTCTTTGTCCACGACCACAGCAAGGCCAGTGTATGGATGATAGACTTCGGAAAGACGACGCCTCTGCCTGACTCGCAGGAGCTCCGACATAACGTCCCGTGGTCTGAGGGTAGCAGGGAGGACGGCTACCTCATCGGTCTGTCCTCTCTCGTCGCATCTTTAGCCCAGGCCATCAGTGTGGCCTCCTGGCAGCAGGAGGAGAGCTGTGAGGAGGAGCAAATAAGCCCGTGAATGTGCATTTTTGACAGTCGTTACACAACTGTAAGTGGATGAGATGGACAAATCGACTGGTGTTACATCGGAATGGTTTCATTCACTGGAAGAGACTTGATTTGTTAATGGAGATTGTGTCTTCAGGGGCTAAGGAGGAGGAAAAAGGGACTTCAGTGTACCGAAAATCCATAGATATGTGGTTGTGCATCCGGTATGTACATACTCTGACAGTTAAAACTACTATGTTACAAAGACCTTTTTGTTTTCTCATTCGCAAAAGACGGACAATCCAAGGAACATCTACAGATCAGGGGCTTGCCCAGTGAAGAGGCATGGGTTGGGAATGACTCTGCTGGAGATCTGTTTACAAATGCTCCTGTCTTGTTTGTTTTAATGTGGTTGGTCTGCATAACCTAAAACAGCTTACCTTTGTTGCAACATAAGCTCATTTAAGGTATCTCATTATGCGCACATCGACTGAACAGCCTCGTGCTCTATCTTTTTTTTAAGACAGTATGTGTAAAAAACATGGGTTAAGTACAGATTAAGCTATACCAATGAAGAAAACACAGCCACAATGTTTGTATTGTATTATTATATTGTTTGTATTTAGATTGCTCACACATGATGCAGCTGAAATGTTTTTCACAGTTTTATAGGCTATAAATAACCTCACATATATATATATATAAAATTAAAATAAGAATGCTTCTTTCTGTTGGGTTTTTATATATCCATGTCACTATTATCATCATCTTATATAAAATGATCAATGAGTTGCAGACATCCAAGTGATATGCAAAAAAGTAGATAAATAAATAAAATGCTAAATGGCAGTGAGAGTTTAACAGCTGAAATCTCAGGGCAGTCAAATCCATTCGATCATTGCAAAAAGCAGGTTGAGTGAAATATTTCAGTGAGATGGATTGGTGCAGCCAAAAAGCATATATGTCACGGTTCAAGGTTCTTTATTTGTCACATGCATAGTTATACAAGTATAACACACAATGAAATGTAACCTGACACGCTCCTCGACATGTGCAAAAAAAAAAGGGGGGGGGGTAGAGGATGAACATTGTATACATATAGTATATACATTGGGTGAATGTGCAGTAGTGAATGTGCAGAATGTGCATATATGTATTACACTGCATGAGGCAGTGGTGAAGTGTTCAGCTGAAGTGACAGATGAGTTTAAGGTGGGGAAGGATCGGCTCTGAGCCCCTTCTTATTTGATGTGGTGATGGGCAGGTGGACTGATGAGGTCAGGCAGGAGTCTCTGTGGACTCCTGCCTGACCTCTTACACATTATGATCTGAAGTGAGAGAAGGAGGCAGGCCGAAGAGAGCATGGAGAGGTGAAAACACATCTAAAAGTGAAGCTGCAAGGAACAGAGGTGGTGAAGGTGGATGTTTAAATATCTCGGGTCAACCATCCAAAGCAACAGATGGGGCACAAGAGAGGAGAGAGTCCAGGCAGCGTGGAGTGAGTGGAGAAGAGTATCAGGGGTGATTTGTGACAGAAAGAGAACAGTGAGAGTGAAAAGGAAGGTTTACAAGACACTAGCACTGACAAAAATACAGGAGGTGCAGCTAGAGGTGGCAGAGCTGAAGGATGGACAGGATTAGAAATGAGCACATCAGAGAGACAAAGTTATAGAGGCAGGGCTGACATGGTTTGGACATGTGCAGAGGAGGGATAGTGGAAAAAAATAGGAAGAAAATATTAATGGAGGAGGGTTGGTGTGACAGATGAGGACGCAAAGGGTTGAGTGAGATGGAGACAGATATCCACAGTGGGAATCCCTAAAGGGAGCAGCCGAAAGAAGAAGACTGAAAGATATGATTTGTGCAAATCTGAAGTATTGTTAACATAATGCTGAGTGTTTAATATAAAGTAAGGCAAATAATAATAACTGAAAAGTAAGCAGTAAAACAATTACAATTATTAACCCTGGGAGGTCTAACACATCATCGGTGATCTGAACTCTAGGCTATAACAATATGTTTTTGTTTCTCACTGACATTGAGAAACAGAGGATAACAAAATAATCAGACTAACTTTACTTGTTAAATTCCTTTTTTCTGCAAAGTGTTACGACTCAGAGCTAGGGTTAGGGTTTCAACAGATTTATGTACTTCAGCTAAATTCAAGTACATTTTTGTGTTCAAAAGTTTAGAAAAATAGAAATATCTGGCCCAAGAGACAATATTCCCCCAACATTAAGACATCATAATTAGCATTCTAGTGGTTGTAGACTGTCAAGATGAAAATTTATAGTTTTAGTAATTAAAGGCTCCATCTATTGAAAACACATTTGGCATTAAAATGTGACAAGTCTAAAACAGAGACCACAAATTATGATGCAGAAGTTTGCAATAATGTTTTGGAGCTGTTATTACGGACTATTGTTAAAAATGATAATGACTTAATTTTGGATTTTTTTTTAGTTAACAACAGGAAATACAGCAGAAAATTTTAATTTTTCCCCTTTTGTTATTGTTTAACAAACTAATAATAATTTGTGTTTGATTGACAAATAGATGCCTGAATTACATTAAGTTAATTACTTTGTTAATAATAAAACTATTTAAGCCAAATATCTATTTTAAAAAATGCCATAAAAATACAAAATTTTACATTTGCCTAAATATATTTTTTAAAGTATGCTAATATTGTGGCAGTTTAAGCGCTCAGGCTGCAGTAATTAGACGGTTAGAGCTTCGTTTCGCCAGGTGGCGCCATGTTGTTGGCGCTTCAGGAGACAAGTGAGCGGGAGAGACCGACTGACAGGAGCTAAAACGACACGTTTTCGGTACTTTTATGGGGGAAAAAACCAATAAGGTGGTAAAAAAAAAAAAGAAGAAATTAGTGGTAAATGTTGAAACTGGTCCTGGGCAGCCAACGTGAACGATACTGCTAGCTGCAAGCTAACCTTAGCTTCTGCTCACAAAGTTGCCCAAAAAGAAAAAAAGCATAAACTTCAAATTTCGCTCAAGAAGGCTGACAAAGAATCTGGTGCTGTTTTGAAAAGGAGTTTTTCAAGGAGAAAGTAAGTTTTTTTCTGGGAGTTTAAGTGGTCTTGAGAGGACCAAGTGATCATGTTTCAGAGGAACTACCGCAACCTGGCCGTGGTGACACATGTGGTGAATGATGGTAAGTCTGACTCCTATTATTCTCTCGGCTTCGTTTAGCCCGGGTTTACATTACCGTCTAATCGCTTACACCTGCTTATGCTTCGTGTTTTAAACAGACATTGTGAATGATATTGCCTTAACATTGAAAATTAAAAATAAATAAGCAATAAGCATGCTACCGAGGAGGAAGGTGTAGCTATTGTTTACCTGGTCATAGAATTTAGATGGTGTGATGCTAACGGAAGCCTTCAGGCTAATATTTTAAATGCATATGTTTTTTATATTAATTAAATATATATTCAGTTGCAGTTTGGTTACTAAGAACCAGGATCGTCACGATTTGCGATAAAACACAGTCTGTACAGCTGACCCTATCCTAAAGTTTCTTTGAGCGAAATATTATCAAATTATACTCCTTTTTAAATCCTGATAGGCCATATTAAAGTGCACTGTTTGTACAAAAAAAAGCACCTCTGGACAATTCCAGAATAAAATATTAAGAGCTTATTATGACATTTTGTGATATTTCTGCTAGTATTAAACCGTGCTGGTTCACTGTCAGGGCTTATTGGGACATCATTATTGTTATTGCTTCCAGCTGCACCTTCCTGCATTGAAAGTGCTCCTGGTTTTATGCTTCAGTGGCACAAACAATAGAAGTGAGTCATTAATATAACCTGGGTTTTTTTTCTTACTTTTAAAAATCAGTCTTTTGTGCACATGTCACGGGAACTTTACAGTTATTTGGAGGATTACTGACAGCTGGTCAAAACAACATACTGAGATGTGATTTGTGCAGCGCTGAAATTATAATAAAACTTCTGTAGGTTTAGGAAATGACACATCTAAATGAATCTTATGTGATTCTGTTTTTATCAAAGGTCTCAGTGTTACATGATGTTGAAATTATTATTTTCAAATTCAAACAATATAGTTTTTAGAAGTGTTGCTAAACGAGACAACCCCATTTTGTATACCCTTTGAAACCGCTGTAGTTTTTAAAAAAAATACATTTGCATACTGGCGCAGCTTTGGAAAAAAAACAACAGACCGGCCCGTTGGCTAACTTAAAAGACAGCTGTCTGTGTTTTATCCCTCATCTTTGTGGAAATACAGAAGTTGGTTAGCCTTTTAAAGAGGTTCGTGTGTGATTTAAGTGGTCGGATATCCTACATCAAGCTTCGCGCTATAGGTTTTGCGCATATATACGCAAAAGTAAGTCGAAGCTAACGCTAGCAAAACCTGATTTGTACATTGCATGTTTGTTTGTTTTTTTGTTTTTTTACTTGACCATAATCCCACCGTAGTTTGTTTCAACTGTCCGCTCCCTTTTCTTGCCCCGGAAGAGAACCCAGTTGTGTTTCCGGCTTTGTCTTTACGTTTGGGCTCGGCAGGGAAGCTAAGCTAAGCTGCTAATTACGAGTCGACAGTCACGTCGGGGTCGCCTTTGTTCCCGCTGGTCCACTCGGAATGTTGGAGTTTCTCCGACAGCCTTGGCTTTGAGTGCCGTGAAACAAAGAAAAGAAACCACCACTAGTAGCATTGTTGTTTTTTGTTTTACTCTGGGTTGTGGCTGTTATCCAACACTATTGGAGAAATATGGCGGACGGCGGGCATTACTACAACGGTAAGAAGCCACGTTCACTGCAGGTTTAAACTTACTGCACTTTTAACGACCTTCCCACAGATCTTGGAGACTTTATGGTGAGGAGAGAGGTCAGAAGAACCGATTTCATGGTTCACGGAGGTAAAAATATGTCGAAGGCATCTCGGAGGTGTCATTTTGTGACACATGTTTACCCAGTACCACGCCATGAATATTTGTATTATTTCGCTGGTAAAATGAGTCCAGAGAGTTACTGCAGAGATCAACAAGACCAGGGCTTGTCTTGGATATTTAAAGGACTTTTTAAAATGAGCATAATTTGCAAAAGTGTAGGCTTAATTAAAATCTGCTACAGAGTGCGTATTTAAAATTGTAAGCTTCCTTTAATGTTTACATTGCAATCTGTAACAGTCATTTGAGCTCTTTTCAGTCTTATCTAGTCCATGTACAGTAGCTGATTTAATTTAACTCATAACCTATGCCTTTTGGGGGGTTATTATTGCTTGTATTTTGTAGCTGAGATGTGATATTTAGGTTGTGAGCTAACTTACTTTCTCCGTTACAGAGCATGATGACAGAACCGCACCACAGTTTCGCAACCGTAAAGGCAGAGGCCCTCACAAGGGTCGGTATGACAGGTCTCGCAGAGACCGCCAGCGTGGAAACCACTCAGGAGGGTTTGGAGGTCCTGGACCACGGTCGAGGCTTGAAGATACTGATGGAGATGTAACTATGAGTGATGGCTGTCAGGACAGCAGCTCCCAGAACAGATTGTAAGTGTAATAAGTTACACTTTCATTGAATGCATTTGCTAGAGTTTGTCTGATAAACTTCTCACAGTAATACTTTAGTCTAAGTAAACAATTAATGGCTTTAAACTGAAAAGAACATTTGCACAATGTATAATTTTCTTGTAAGGTGAGTAACACGTGAACAGCAAGGTCTTAGGTGTTTGATGTGGATTTCATGTGAAGCTGTAGGAAAGGTGAAAGGCATCTTGAATACCCCGCACAGGATGAGAAAGTAGAGCACCAGACCATTTTCACTTCTGTTCCTTTGCTGACATGAATAGTACCACAGGAAAAGTGAACAGGACTGAAACGGTAAAAGTGAACTGAGAAAAAATAAGTGATTTTGTTAGTCAGCTAAAAATTATAACATGAAATTATTAAAATATCAGCTCGTGTCCTGCATCCAGTGACTTTTTTTTTTCTAGTTTCCACATCTTGAATGAAAAACTGGTTGATGAAGGAGAATATTCCAGGTAATAAAAAGGGAGGCCACTGTAAAGCAGTGTTTTAATAAGTTTGCCTGTCTGTGTCTCATGCTCGGCCAGTACATGCGTGTGACTATTTCACAAACATTGGGGGTAGGGTAATTATTTATTTATTTATTTTAAGTCTACTACAATAAGAACTGCGAGTGTGAAAGCTGTGTTGGGCCTTGACAAAAGGTTAAAGCAACACTGAATGTAAGGAAAAATACAGAGCATTTATCCGTGTAATTTTGAAACCTGACTCCTGTCGACCTGGTGCAAAGTCCTGTAATGATTGTGGTTGGCACACTGGTGATTGCTTGTGCATATCATAACCACACTTGCTGCAGTCTACCCCTAAATGATGGAAATGGTTTTGAACTAGAATCAGAACACAAGTCAGAATGGCAAACAACGCAATTACAGAGGTTTTTATCAGGAATCTCCTTATTGCTATCTCGAGATATATGATTGATGAGTCACTGCAATGCATGTTGAGACCGACCTACTGGTACCTTTAGCCCTTCTGCTCTGCACACACCAAATTGCAAAAATCTAGATAGGCACAACAAACCGGTAGTTTATCAAAGCGCCTCACATGCCAGAATTGTGACTTAATCTTTGGCAGATGGCATGATTTGCAATGATGATAATAGATAAATAAACTGCTTGTACAAAGACAGAATACTGAGAAATAGAACTTAAAAATTGCATTGATTCTTTTCCCTGTGTGGCCATATGTCTGAATATATACTGCCTTGTTGTGTTCTCCCTAGTAACCCTTACGGAAGACCTTTTAGGAAATTAGATGGACGGTTTGACAGAGACAGGCGACAAGGCAAAGGTGGAGGCAGAGGTGGAGGGGGCGGTCCCTTCAGAGGAGGAGAACGAGGTGGCGGAGGAGGGAAAAACCAATCGGGCTGGTACAAAGTAACGGTGTGTATCATTACGGTCACCCCAGGAAGTCAAAGAAACCACTTTGTAATCTATAAAGAAATTATATTTTGTTTCTTGTATGTTTGGCAGATTCCACATGGAAGAAAATATGACAAGAAGTGGCTACTCCCAGCTCTCCAGAACATTTGTTCCGTTCCGTACCACCCTATACAGGTGCATTTAAGCACTTATAATTACTAGTTATAAACAGATTTAATACCTTTTTATATATTTCTTGAAGTAGCAAATATATGAGTAAGCTTTTTTAACAGTTTCTGTATGTTGTGTTCTGATAAAATAAATGATGTAATTCTTTGTGCCTATACAATTATTCAGAAAATATCTGCAGTACCCATGTAGTAAAATTTGTAAGGTAAGTCTAAGGCGATTTTAATTGTATTATCTTTTTCTTTCTTGTCTTGCCCTCTATATCCAGTACCACGTGGACCATAACAGGGTCCATTTCTATGTGGATGACTCCTCTGTTGCCAGTGCTTTACACAAGTGTTCACATAAGATCACAGACACCGATGGTTATAAGGTATGTTGGTGTAATAATATCGATAGGTTTTTGTGTCATGTGTACTGTTCACGCCTATTGTACTCTGCTGTGCTGTTGCCTTAAGATCACAGATCATTGGTGTGCTGCTACTGAGTGTTTATCCACCTACTTGAATGTGAAAACAAGATAATGAATAACCATTAATCAAACAATCTTAATCTTAAGTTATTGATTTGTCATTTTCCATCTGTGTTTCTTCAAGGTCGAAGTGCACGTCAACAAAAGTGCTCCACCGTCATTCCTCCTCTCTGACCTGAAGCCTGAACACCTGGAGCACCTGAAGGTAGGAAGCACCTGAGTGGGGGCAGTGATTGTGGCTAAAAGCCTCATAAGTAATGTTCAAAATGTCTTTGAGTTTCTCTAATCATTGTGAGAGTCTGTTGCTCAAACTAATGGTGTTCTAGTACTAAGTACACTGTTAAAGTGTCGTTCTTACATATATTAACTGTTTATTAGTGATGTTAATAGCACGTTCATTTAAATGCAGTTTACCAGTTTAGGTCACAGAATTATAGAACCTCAAAGCAAAGCATTTTCATTTTAGTGATGCACATGTCATGAGTGAAAGTGAAAGTTTGTCATATCTCTAAGAAGTTGGAGACAGGCGGCCTTTAGCCTGCATTTTTAACCGATCGTCTCAACCTGACTCCCTGTCAAAAAATGCCAAGTATGGTGCTTGTCTTGTTTGTAGAGACATTTTTAGAATGAAATTGCAGAAAACAAAGTTGACTAAATACACATTTCACCCGTTACTGCTAAATGTAGTAAGGCAGTATGATTTAAAATGACGACATCTCAGTTTCACAACCATAAAGGCAAAGCGCCCCAAACTAACCAAGCACAATGTTCAGGACTTTGTTATGATGAACTTAACATCAACAACAAAATGACTCACTGATGAGTGTACAGCTATCCACTCAACACAACAAAAAGGAAGAAAGCACCACCTTCTGGTGCTTTTGGGAAATACATGTTAAATTCTCAAGCAAGCAGACCACTGAACTACCAATAGCTGCTATATTCTAGCCAAACCCTACTTATAATAACTGTAAATGTGTATTGTCCCAATCAGGTGTTTTCAGAGTAAAGCTGCAACTATGGGGAGTGATTAGGAGCGTTAGTAGAACCTTAATAAAATATTTATAAATTTTTGAAATTTTTATATGACTGTACCATAAGTTTATTATTTGTGTTGTTATATTTGGACGCATTGAGCAAACGGGTAAAGTGGTGGCTGCTTCGCTGCATTCATTTTATTAAATTGGTAAACTCTTTTTGCATTTGATTCAACAGAAGTGATCTGACCTGAGTGGTGGAGAGAGTTCAGAGGAGAATTATTTTGCCATTGTGACCATTTGTGGTGTTTTGGAGGCTAATGTGTTGATTCTTGTTTTTATCTGACAGCAATGCATGGCAAAACGTTTCGATGCCTCCCAGCAAGCACTCGACTTGAACAACATTCGAACAGACCCAGGTGATTATACGCATCTTTTAAAAAATTTTTTTACATACATTTGCTACCAGGATCACACGGTTCATACTTATAAGTAAGTTTCTGACCAGCCTTACAGAAATGATGATGATTATTATTGTTATTACAATACTTGCATCTCTGCGAAATGGCAATTGAATGCCTGTTCTAAATGGCTTCCTGTGATGTTTTACACCAAGAGTCAAATCAATCCTCCTGTGAAACTGTACCTTGCAGAACTTTATTTACTGCCATGTAAAACAACACTTTAACATGTTTGTGTAGTGTTTTATTGCTAATTTTATCTTGCATGACAGACCTGGTGTCCCAAAACATTGAAGTGATCCTGAACAGGAAGACTAACATGGAAGCTGTCATCAAGATCATTGAAGAAAACATTCCTGAGGTAACATTAGTGCAGTGACAGAAGCACAGGCACTTCTACAATCTACTGTAGCTGCTATAAAGTAATGGAACACATTTAAGTGTGCTCATTGTCATTTTGTGTCTCATTTTGCCAGCTGACGTCCTTAAACCTGAGTAACAACCGTATTCACAAACTGGATGAACTGGCTGAATTGGTTACCAAGGTGCCCAATTTGAAAACGCTCAATCTTTCCCAAAATGAGGTGAGACTGACTACTCAGTTTGTAGAAGTATAAACAGACATGACCTAGTGGTCCTTTGCACGTTGCGTGTGTATGTTTGTGCAATTTAAAAAAAATAAAATAAAATAAAAATCCTGATTCTGTGTGGTTCTCCAGCTAAAGTCTGATCGGGAGCTGGACAGGGTGAAAGGCCTGAAGCTGGTGGAGCTGTGGCTAACTCGAAACCCTCTGTGTGACGTCTTCAAGGACCAGGCCTCATACATTAGGTCAGTCAGCGATTCACGAGATTGGAAAAAGTAATAATTCAGTGACTGTGTGTGGCTGTCTGAGTATGATGCAGGATGCTACAAAACAAGATCAGTTACCTGTGTTTGTGTTTATGATGGCTGTAAAGTAACAAACCATTTTGCTCAGGAGTTGAGGATGAACGCTTGGACCAAGCAGAGCCAACTCATAAAAACTTTAACAACTTGTGTTTTCTGTGAGTGAAACACTGTAACTTGCAGATATTATCTTTTTTTTTTTAAAGTTGAAGGAGACGTACCAGTTGACTTAAATACACCATAAGCTTTCTGATCTTGTCACTATGTTGAGGAATATTAAAAACGCCCTAAATGGAAATGATAACTGATTAATATTTGTCATTTATGTACAGATTTACTTGCATACAGACTTTTAAATATCCATGCAGTTGTGCCTATACCTATACACTTGTAGTGACATACACAAGTATTCAGCTATGTGCTGTGCGTTAAATAATCAAGGATCTGTGGGTATTTAAATGTTTTGGGGGGGGGTTTTGTTGTTGTCGTTGTTTTTTGGGGGGTTTGAACGTGTTTTTCCCACTATATGATTAACGTTTCTTTTTCGCACTGCAAACTAATCATTTCTTACTTTCAAAAGTTGCTGAGAGGACATCTGACCACAGTAAATTTGCACAGTGTTAAAATTTATTTTCCTTTCAGCTTGCTTAAACCCTCTGCAGTGTGAACAGCACTACTTCTTCTTTCTGACGGTTGTTCAGCTTCTCTGTGGCACTTCCTTTCAAGCTTTGGTCTCATCTTTGTGTGTTGTCACTCTAGGCGGCGCTCTGCCTAGTATTCCCCTGCTGACATTGTGGTTACTTATCCCATAAGCTGCTGTAAAAATACTGTCACACTGCAGATGATAAGAAGCATGCTATTTTAAAAAACAAAACAAAAACTGCAACAAAAAGCAAAAAAGAAGTGAGCATTTCACATCCGATTTATTTCAAAAACAGGGATCCATAATGAGATTTTGAGCAGTACTGTAAAAGTGTAGACTCTCTGTTGGAGAGTGGGCAAGCCATTTTCATCTCGACAAATTTTGGATGAAACAAAGAAAATTTCCACAGCCAGTGTGTCCCCTCCCCTCATAGCACCCCTGCCCACTTGGCCCCCGTATCAGGCGAGTATGGAAGGCTGGATAGCCCATGACGGGTAAGATCCCACCTCGAAACCCTGGGACAACCTAAGGCAGGCACAGTCACGATTACTCGGCCTCAGTCCCTGTGAGCTCAGACTCACTGGTGAGATGAAGTGAAGAAGACGGGACTTCAAGGGTAAAGCCGCTGGGATGAGGCGGAGGGGGAAATGTCATTATCAATGACCAGTGATGAGCCAAAGAGAGAAAACACTCCCACTAATCTCTTTTGCCTAAAATGGGCCTCTGATTGTCTGTGAATGAAGTGGAGAGTTTGGCAAATATCCCTGACAAAACCTCTGAAGAAAATATGTTCTGAACTGGAAATCAGTTCAGAAAAAAACTCAACATGAAAACACTTCCTCTTCCAGTTTCTGATGGCTGTGACCAGTACGAAAAAGCTCAATTATTATTAGATGATTTTCACTCTACGTCATGATTACGCCTCTTTAACCAGAGGCTTGGTCCCAAATTTTACTTGGGGAAAAATAAAAGCTTATAGAAAGTTTATTTACTCTTCAGAGTGAGAAAGTTAGCTGGTAAATTTCGTACTTTAGCAGCAGGGGATGGGTACAGAATGAGCGGCGGGACTGCTAGGCTAAGCTCTCTTAGAGACCTGCTGTCGTTGCCGTTCGGCTCTCTTCTCAGGTCTGCTTTAATTGCTGATAATCGTGGGCACAGACGCTGATGAAAATCACCCAAATGATGAATAGTGACTGTCTTTTGAATGTTAGGCTACTTGTGCTAGTATGTCACTGAACTGTACTTCACCTGTTTTGTTTTCTTGGTGACGTAGACTCATCTGTTCCCCAACATCTTGGCCAGAGATTTTGTAACCACCTCTCTCCCAGCAATGCATAATCTCTTTATTTTAATACTTCAGAATGAATGTGTTTGCTGGATCCTGGTGTGGTCTCGTAAATCATGGGACTTTGCATGTTAGTATGTGTGCGCTCCTAGAAAAGTGTGCTTGTGTTGCTGCTCCATGTCAGATCTGTGTATGTCACCAAAATGGGGGAGAGGGTGAGTATACCAGCTGGTAAGTACACTTCAGTGCGGGAAACTTCAAAAGAGCACAGCAAAAAATATGAGAAGGACGAAAACGCTAAGTTGATTTGTGGATTTCCTTGTACACACAGAAGATTAAATCCTTTGTGACACTGGTTGTAATGAAACATTTTAATTTCATCCTCAAAGTGTAGTGTCCTAAAAATTCAACTGAAAGGCACAAAATGACATTAAGTGGATCAGCAGGTGTGACTGTCAGTTATACCCACAGTAATGAACATTATTTGTGTGTGTATGGGTATGGATTGTGACGATAACATTCCTGCTCTTGGTTTATGTTCCCATACCAGTGCTGTGCGCCAGAGGTTTCCCCGGCTTCTCAGACTGGTAGGTTCCCACATTTATATCTCAAAAATTCACTATCTTTGAAGTCATTCTCCTTTATTTAGTTGTTCTTTTACCTAAAGATGCTATAAAATCCTTTTGAATATTCCAATAAATGTCATGTTCTGAAGAATCTGTTGGTGTTCTGCATTTCTATTGTTTTCGGCCAAAATGGGAAAAATGATCAGAGTAGTTTTGTTTCATATGTTCCCTGGGAAACCCTAAAATGGTCATTATCTTTCATATGATACGCACATCTCCATATTTTAGTTTTTGTATTGCTTTATTGATGTTAAACCAAACTTTTACGATAATTTTGTGTGTTTCACTTCAGGATGGTCATGACCTCCCTCCACCGATTGGATTTGATGTGGAAACGCCCACCACTATTCCCCCCTGCAAGGTTAGCTGAATGTATAGTTTTACTCACTGATATTCAGCATTGTGTCTATATTACTGTTAACTAAATTAGTTTAATCTGCGTTGTACAAATGCTTTCCTGTGTGACTTTCCAGGGCAGCTGTTTTGGCTCCGATGAGATCAAGGCGCACATCCTTCGGTTCTTGCAACAGTAAGTTTCTCCTTTTCCTTTTTTAGTAATGAGGAAAACTCTGAAATTTTTTTAGAGTTGGTGCACTGATAATGTGCCCACTGAACAATTAGTGTTTTTATTTGTTAATTTTAATTAGCTTTTAAGGAAATAGTTTCTGTGTTTGTCCTTTTCCCCAAAAAATTAACTTCATGGCTTGCGACTGTGTTGCAGGTACTACAGTATCTATGATTCGGGGGATAGACAGCCGCTCCTGGATGCCTATCATGATGGAGCATCATTATCAATCACAACACCTTACTCCACCCAGAACCCCTCCAGGTGAGGACACAAAAGCACATTTGTAGATAACTTACTACTCTGATTAATATATTTTGGGTAGCTTGCCTCCACCAGTGTGTGAATGTGAGAGTGAATGAATAGTGGCATTGTAAAGCGCTTTGGGTGCCTTGAAAAGCGCTATATAAATCCAATCCATTATTATTATTATTATTTTCATCAACAAAGCAGAATTAAGCTTTTCATTGACAAGATGTTTGCATGGGTTGCTCTTTCTGTGTCTTCCCCTAACATTGAGTCTGTTTGTCCCTCTGCTGTTTAGGAGCAGTCTGGGAGAGTATTACAAAGACAGTCGAAACCTGAAGAGAGTCAAAGACTCCAGTGAGTATCTTTCACTGTCTAAATTGAGGTTGTCGGGGTTTGAGACGTCTCCTCATGTTTTCCCTCTCGAAATTTTGACTTCTTTAGCGATACGCTTTCGACTGCTGAAGCATACACGACTGAACGTGGTGGCTTTCCTCAACGAGCTACCAAAGACTCAGCACGACATCGCCTCCTTTACAATTGATGTGAACACCTACACGGTGGGTTTTCATTCTGTCATCCACCTTGACGTTTTCCTCTGAAGCAATTTATTGTTCTAATTCTCTCAAAACATGTTTTCCGTTTACAGAATACACTACTGTCATTCACAGTGAGTGGAGTCTTTAAAGAAGGTGAGCTGTTTTAGTCAGAGTTTTAGAATTGGTCCTGAACAAAGGGGCATACCTGTTGATTTCTTTACTAATTTGTCTGTCTGTTGTCTGTTTCAGTTGTTGTTGATGGGAAATCGCGAGAATCCACAATGGCCTTCTCTCGAGTTTTCATCACAGTCCCAGCAGGAAATTCTGGGTGAGTTTTACTGAGCTCCCGGTGGTTTATATGATCTTCCCGTGGTGCATAACGAAGTGTTTGTTTATTGTTATGCTTCAGTCTGCGTCTTGAGACCAGTCTGCAACAACTTGGCACCCACCAATCACTAGAGAAAAATGTGTATTTCATGAAATTGGTAACACGCTGTGTTAGAGTCAGAGAGTCATAACGGTCAAGTAAAATATATCAAACATATTACATGCGTGCGTCTCCTGCTAGAGCCTGACAGCAGACTGTATTGCAGATGAACCTAATCAGAAATTGTACCAACAAACAAAAAGGACGTTTAGCTTCTCCTGTGTATAACAGAAACATCCAGATATCCTTATGTTTTCTGTGTGTGGTTCTTTTGTGACAGGTTGTGCATTGTCAACGACCAGCTTTTCATTCGAATGGCCACAACAGAGGAGATCCGCCGAGCCTTCGTGGCTCCTGCCCCGACTCCATCTTCCAGCCCTGTCCCCACCCTCACTGCACAGCAGCAAGAGATGCTCACAGCTTTCTCACAGAAGTCTGGCATGAACCTGGAGTGGTCACAGAAGTGCGTTTTGTTTCCTGCACATATCTTTTTGTGGTCTTGTGTATGATTGTGTATTTAAACATCTAAACATACATCTTTAACAGGTGTCTACAAGACAATGAATGGGACTTCAGCAGAGCAGCGCAGATCTTTACTCAGTTGAAGGTAACTTGTATAATAATAATGATAATTGTTCTGTCTATAAATCAACATAGAAAGACTATTGTGAGGCCATGGCTTTGAAATATCTCCTTTTGTTTTCTCTTTCCAGGCTGAAGGAAAGATTCCTGACGTAGCTTTCATAAAATAAAGAGTGGAATCAAATATCTGTGAAATAAACTAAAGCGCAGTTACTTTTATTTATGGCTTTTGTTCTTTTATTCGCTCACTTTTGTTTAATTATGAATGAAGTAGATCAAGTCTACTTGTGTTAACTGTTTTAACAGCCAAATGTCATTCTGCTACTGTTTTTGGTTATTGTAACCTTAGTTTTTGGTCATTTGTATAGATATCACTACACAGTTTTTATAGGAATAAAGACATATGGCCAATGGTCCATTGTATTCATGTGCTCATCTTGATTTTGTTTGTTTATGTTTAACAATAAAATATATTTTGTCACAACTGATAAATTTTCTTCAAGGTTACATTAGAAAAGAGTGGGAAAAGTGAGGGGGAAATGCCCAATAATTTGACTACATTTCAGTTTACAGTATAAATGTCAAAATATTTTAAATAACTGAGAAACGGTGACTTATTGAAAGATGTAAAATTGTTAAGTTTCATTGGGGGGAAAAAAATAGATCAATGATGCTGCTCATGGATGACTTTAAGTTTTACCCACGCAAATATGTGTGGGAAAAGTTGACATAAAAAATATAGTATGGAACTTTTTACAGTGCTTCTTTAGTTCCTACATCTTTATGGCTGTCCAGGTTGAAGTTTGGGCTAATTTAAATTAATTATTTTTCTTGTATATCAGAGACAGCTCGGGTTGAGCAGTTTGGAGACAGAGTAGTCTGAAGTGGGAGCATGCGAAATGGAGGGAGAGCAGATGGTTTAGACAAAGTGTTATTGAAGGGAGCAGCTGAGGGAAGCTGGCCTTAAGTTTGTATTCGCTTTAGGGTGGTAGATTTAATATATACTGTACATTTGCCTTACCTATGATACTAAGACTTATGTTTATAATATTAAATATAGTTAAGATAAAACCACAAAGTTGAATAAAAAAGTTTGGAGTTACAGAACTCTTGTTAGATACAACCAGTTTAATTGACCAAAACAAATTTTAAGGTTAAAGAACAAGTGAAAACGATCTGCAAGAAAAATAAAAGGAGACAATCGGGGAGAACGCACACATTATCTTTTTTTCAATTTTATTATTTTTTACATACAAAGGCACACACTGAAGCGGAATCACATTTTATAAAAGGATAAGATTTGTGATTTCTGATCGTCCATATCGCCTTGCCTTCCATACAGTTATATGTAAATATTCAAAACTCTGGAAGAAAAATATAAAATCAGTGTGTTACAATTAAAGAGCTGACCTTCTAAAAATGGCGCCTGGATAGATACGTTCCTTTTCCGGTTTTTGCCTACGTCAGTGTGACGAGTTACGCACGGACGTTCCATCAGTTGGCGAATGATAACAATAAACAACCCCGAAACAAGGGATACGCGAAGAGGACTTATCGCTGCGATTCGACACAAAGCTGGCGAAAATATGAGTTGAGACGGATACCGTCAGCTGGAGTAAAGTCTCGAAAAGTATCGTGGGAGCTTCTTGGGTCCTGACACAAAGGATTTTGTAGTTTTTGTGTAGGGAGAACTAGAGTTACGGTATACCCCTTCCTTAGCCCCTTGTAGCTAGCTGTGGCTCATTCCTTGTTTTTGCACACTTTGTTTTAGTCTGTTATGCAGTTTCCAGAGGACTGTACTCGCACTCGTTCTCCTCCACCACCTCTTCGCTCCCTCTCCCCGCTCTCTCTGGCCCTATGTCTCGCTGGTTTTTCCCCTGGTCGGGCTCAATCAAGAAGCGGGCCTGTCGGTACCTTTTACAGCACTACCTCGGTCACTTTTTGCAGGAGCGATTGAGCCTCGATCAGCTGGGCTTGGACTTGTACAACGGCAGCGGTGTCATCAAGGATATCAACCTCGATGTTTGGGTGAGTTTTTAACCGTGAGGAGAAGGTGATCTTGGCACGCGTGCAGCAGCCATCAAGTGTTTTTGTCGGACTCGTGCTCCCTCGACTATTTCGCAACTGCGCTTGAATTCAACAACAATCTCCAGCGTCGGGCTCCCAGCCTAGGTCACATTTCTTCGAGGAAATCCACTCTCAGGAAACGCACCACTAGCTCACGAGTTTAGGTTTACCTCTGTCTGCATTCAGCATAAATATATATGCCCATGGTACACTAACTATGCACTTCCTCAGCTTTATATGACACCCAGAGTGATGAGGCAAATGTGAAACCGCATATTTCAATTTTTTCTTTTACTTTTACTTCTTAGCAGCTGCTTACTAACTGCCTCCTCTTTACAACAGGCGGTCAATGAGCTTTTGGAGTCCCTGGGGGCCCCTCTGGAGATAGTAGATGGCTTTGTGAGCAGCATAACGGTGACCATCCCTTGGCAGGCTCTCTTGACTGATCACTGCACCTTAGAGGTTTCTGGTCTTCAGATAACATGCCGACCCAAGTACCGGACCAGTAAGTTCGCTTAAAGTATATGTTCTTTTCATTGAGACACCGAACACGCCTCAGCCAGCAACTCATGTTCTTATCATTTCTTAATGTGCAAACCCAGTTTGACAAAATCAGTATAATTATTAAGATTGCATCATTTATCTTCAAGGACACTGCAGAAGATGTAAACAGGATAAGAAAACATTCATTTGGTACTATTTATGTGAACAAGGACTGCAATAATTCTGCCATATACTTTCATATGTTTGAGTCTGACAGATATTAAACTAATGATGCTAATTTGTGAATCCTTTCAGGTCCACATCTAGCTCAGGCTAAATCTTGTCTCATATGTGTAACTTAGACATCATCTCACTAAAAAAAAAGAAATTAAAAGAATGGTAAATAGCCAATACTGAAATAGCTAAAGTACAGAAATCACTCAGTGCTCCCTGTTTGTTTGTCTTTTGCCATCAGGTGGGGGCTGGGACTCGCAAGGTTGGTCGTCCAGCATGACCTCCAGCATGCAGCTGGCTCAGGAGTGCCTAAAGGACCCCCCTGAGGCTTCAGAGGAGCCCCCTGCCCCACTGGAGGGGCTTGAGATGTTTGCACAGACTATTGAGACGGGTGAGTGAAAGCAGTTTGTCTGCATGCCGATTCTCACTTGTCTAAATGTGATAGTTGGCGTGCAGACAAAAGAACTTCCTCAGCAGCGGGGGAAAAGTCAAGCGTTCTCAAGAACTCCCACAAACCATCACAGTTATGATCACTTTGGAGTACAGTACTTTCCATCCATTCCCCAGGAAACCTCTTCCCCCAAGAAACCAAAGTGATAAAAATGTACAAATAAAAATATAAAGTCATAAAATTATATTTACTTTATTGACCTAATTTATCTGCTCTTTTTTGCTTTGAGTGTTTCATGTGTTACATGTATTTAAAGTCACACTCGTTTCTCTCATCACCCTTATCTCCCCTGTTGTCACTGTGTGTGTGAGAGGGGCATCAAACAAAACCGAGTGCAGTAAGGTGGGGATTAGTCTTTGTTGCAGACACAGACAGGTGCAGACACCACTGACCAGTGCTTATTCCTGTAATAGTCCTCTGAAGGGCGCATGCGTAGTTGGGTCGAGTCCATAAAAAAGGCAGGCATGCAGAGTTTTTGCATGAAGCGTCTCGCTCATTGTCTGTTGATACACTTAACGCAACCCAGACACAAGTTGACCCTAGCACACTTGCAGATGAAGAAACTGTGACACATATCACCCGAGGCCAGACGGGGAGAAATTAAGGTAGGTTGACTGCAACTTACAATAAGCTGTACTTCATGTGTACCAGATACTGTGTGTATCAGATGGTTCAGTGACCAACATAAACACACAGAGGGATGAACTTTAACGCTCACTTTGTTTCAAAACACATAACACTTATTGATACTCTCATATTTTATTTTGCATGGAAAAGAACCATAAAACTAGCCAAAGTTCTTTTTGTTGTTGTGTATTGTTTTCTGTAAGAAAGAGGGAAATCATCATTGCTGGCCTCATGGTGGTGTTGACATGTCTCAGCTTTGACATTTCAACGAATTATAGTTTAAACTATGTATTTTTAACTATTTATGATCTATCGCCCTGATTATCCCTCCACCTCATTCCAAATAGAAAGCCATCTCTGTGACAGCCTTCTTCTGTATATTATCATTGCTCAGTTACTCCTGGCTGTTACCCATCATCCCACAGTTCATTTCCTACTTTGGGGGTTGAAAGGGGCTTTTGTTCATCTTTACCAAACCTCCTGATGTTACCTAAATCAGAGGCTCCTCAGCGATGTAGATGTTTCTTTGGAAAAAGAAAAGAAAAAGAAAACAGGATTCTGGAGGTTTACATAAATATAATATAGGGCATGCTACAGGTCAACAGTTTCACTGTACACTTGTTCTATCTATTCTGGGCGGCCCATCCCTGCTAAGTGACGTCCTCTGGCTTCCTGCAGACTGGATTTACTCAGGAGATTATATTATTGTGAGAGATGGGGAATCTGTTAATTTGCATCCAGCATGCTTATAGGTTTGTGTAACTAATGAGAAAAAAAAAAATATTGGGTAAATTTGAAATGGAACAGATTTAAAAACCTGTGATCTGCTCACAGTTGGCCACCTTAATTTACAATTTCTCCACATTGGTGCGGTTCTTTTTTATGTTTATTTAGTTGTTTGTTTATTGTAGTTACCCTTTATTCCATTACTGATAAGTATTCTTTTGGCCTATAGTACTGTCCAAAAGGCCAGTGAGCCACCCCTCATTTTCTATTCTGTGAGGAAAGAGAGATGCTAGTTGCTACTATTTATTGAAACACGTCCAAACATATGTGAAAATAAAGTATATAAGAAAAATACATTAATAATTAGTTTGAAAGTTAATATTGGGTTTGAACACCTTCTTCATCACACCCTGAACTCTCTCAGGCAAGCTTTCTGATCATTTCTTTAAGTAATCTTCAGGAATAGTTGTCTAGGGTTCTTAAAGGACATTCAAAGTGATTCTTTGGCTGGCTTTTTGCTCTGTTCTCTCTTAAGACGACCCCACACTGCTTCAATAATGTTGAGGTTGATGCTCTAGGGCAGGGGTCTCGAACTCCAGGCCTCAAGGATACCGTCAGCTATCTAAAACCT